CCTCGGCCCCAGCGCGCCTGCTCCGCCAGAGGGCACCTCCCCGTGGGGACGCGGTGCCTGCCCATGAAGGGCGGGGAGCTGGCTGTGGAGTGAATGTTCAGTGTCCTGGGGTGAAGGGAGGAGCTCCTGGACAGATGCTTGAGCCTCCTGCAAGGAGGGAGGGGTCTGGTCCTGGAGAGATGCTTGAGCCTCCTGCAGGGAGGAAGGGGTCTGGCCCTGGAGAGATGCTTGAGCCTCCTGTACAGAGGATGGGAGCTGGTCCTGGAGGGATGCTTGAGCCTCCTGCAGGGAGGATGGGAGCTGGTCCTGGAGGGATGCTTGAGCCTCCTGCAGGGAGGGGGGGATCTGGCCCTGGAGTGCTGCTGTAGCCTCTTGTGGGGAGGGGATCTGGCCTTGAGCAGATATTTTAACTTCAAGCAAAGGCAATGGGAGCTGGTCTTGGAGACCTGGAAGCTGATCTTGCATAGGCATGTCAGCCTCCTGCAGGGAGGAAGGGGTCTGGTCCTGGAGAGATGCTAGAGCCTCCTGCAGAGAGGGAGGGGTCTGGCCCTGGAGAGATGCTTGAGCCTCCTGCAGGGAGGATGGGAGCTGGTCCTGGAGGGATGCTTGAGCCTCCTGCAGGGAGGAAGGGGTCTGGCCCTGGAGAGATGCTTGAGCCTCCTGTACAGAGGATGGGAGCTGGTCCTGGAGGGATGCTTGAGCCTCCTGCAGGGAGGATGGGAGCTGGTCCTGGAGGGATGCTTGAGCCTCCTGCAGGGAGGATGGGAGCTGGTCCTGGAGGGATGCTTGAGCCTCCTGCAGGGAGGATGGGAGCTGGTCCTGGAGGGATGCTTGAGCCTCCTGCAGGGAGGATGGGAGCTGGTCCTGGAGGGATGCTTGAGCCTCCTGCAGAGAGGGAGGGGTCTGGTCCTGGAGAGATGCTTGAGCCTCCTGTACAGAGGATGGGAGCTGGTCCTGGAGGGATGCTTGAGCCTCCTGCAGGGAGGATGGGAGCTGGTCCTGGAGGGATGCTTGAGCCTCCTGCAGGGAGGATGGGAGCTGGTCCTGGAGGGATGCTTGAGCCTCCTGCAGGGAGGATGGGAGCTGGTCCTGGAGGGATGCTTGAGCCTCCTGCAGGGAGGATGGGAGCTGGTCCTGGAGGGATGCTTGAGCCTCCTGCAGAGAGGGAGGGGTCTGGTCCTGGAGAGATGCTTGAGCCTCCTGTACAGAGGATGGGAGCTGGTCCTGGAGGGATGCTTGAGCCTCCTGCAGGGAGGATGGGAGCTGGTCCTGGAGGGATGCTTGAGCCTCCTGCAGGGAGGATGGGAGCTGGTCCTGGAGGGATGCTTGAGCCTCCGGGGGAGGGGATCTGGCCCTGCAGGGGGGCACTTGTCTCTGCACCCCCCCGCCCTGCAGCCTGGGGTTCCTCTCCTCCAGGGGGCACCGCAGGGCCTGTCCCCTGGGCGGGTCCCTGCTCCTCTGGCCTCACTGGTTCCGCTGCCCCAGCTGGACCCGCCTGGGCAGCCTCCCCCTTCGTTCCCGGGGCTGCCCCCGCAGGCTCCGGCCGGGGGCCCCCCCCCCC